GCTCCTTTCTGTATCTGAGGTGTCAGGGTGGGGAGAGGGCTGGTAGATATTTAAAATGCTTGGCGTGCACATGGGACAAGAAGCTTGAAGTGTGTGCCACCCTGAGGAAGAGTTCATCCCAGCCAGCAGTCCTTTTCAGCATCAGAGACCAGTTTTATTGAAGACGGATTTTTTCCATGGATGGGGTGGGGGTGCCGGGGGGCATTAGATTTTCTTTTTTTTGAGTTGGAGTCTCACTCTGTCGCCCAGACTGGAGTGCAGTGGCCGCTCCTGGTCACCACAGCTTCGACCTGCTGGGGTCCGGCGATCCTTCCGCCTCAGCCTTCCAAGTAGCTGGAACTACAGGAGCGCGCTACCACACCCGGCTAATTTTTGATTGATTGTAGAGATGAGGTCCCGCCAAGTTGCCCAGGCGGGTCTTGAACCCGCAGGCTCAGGCAATCCACTCACCTCAGGCATTAGATTTTCATAGGCGTTTGCAACCTGGATCCCTTGAACGTGCAGTGCACCATAGGGTTTGTGCTCCCATGAGAATCGAATGCTGCTGCTGATTGGACAGCAGACGGAGCTCCACCCATCTGCTTGCTTACCTCCTGCTGGGTAGCTTGGTTTTTAACAGGCCACGGACTGTGGCCCGGTGTTTGGGGGACCCCTGATCTCAGCCATATCAGAGAGTCAGGGATAAGGCAAGAGGATGTGTCGAGAGTGCTGGATATGCCTACTCTGATAGACATGTAGATCTACACGTTTAGGTGAAAGCCAAAAGCTTCATAATGGCCAAAAGACGATCTGGTTCCTTCTTCCTTTGTCTTTCTCATTCCTGCCTCTCTCCACCTTCTCACTCGGCTCCAACTCCTTTCGCCAGCTCTCCTTCCATCAACACTGGAGGATTTGCCAAGGGGCTCATGAGATTACAAATGGTTTGGTGCAATCGGTGACCTGGGACTGGGTGTGCAGTGGCTCATGCCTGTAATCCCAGAACTTTGGGAGGCCGAGGTGGGAGGATTGCTTTGAGCCCAGGAGTCCAAGGTCAGCCTGGGCAACATAGCGAGACCTCATCTCTATAAAAATAAAAAGAATAAGCTTGGCATGGTGATGTGTGTCTGTAGTCCCAGCTACTCAGGAGGCTGAGGTGGAAGGATCGCTTGAGCCCAGAAGGGTGAGGCTGCAGTGAGCTGTGATCAAGCCACTGTACTCTAGCCAGGGTGACAGAGTGAGACCTTGACTTGAAAAGAATAAAAAAAAAATTAGTGGCTTGTTGCTTGGTGTATCAGTCAGGGTCCAATGAGGAGAAAGAAACTGCCCAGTAATTTAAACAAGAAATCTTTACTGTAAGGATTTATTAACAATAACAAAGAATGGGCAGGTCCAGGTAAGAAGTAAAGAGAATTTTAAAGAATACAGAAATGGCAGATATGAAGAGAAGCCACCACCCACAGGGCCGAGATTGGGTGCCCAAGGAAGAGGCCACCTCTAGATTGACATCCAGATTTGGAAGGAAAAAGCCCAGCCATGGCCCTCTGGATGTTGGGGAATTCACTGCAGTGCTGGCCGAAGTCCATGAAAAGTACATTCTGGAACTTTCCAAAAATCTACCCTTAGGGAGCCAAGGAAAGTTATGCAAGGGGATGTCGCCTCATTAGAGGCTCTCTGTTATGAAATTTCCTGAAGGGGTCATTGGAGGAAACTGGAAGTTGCTCTGTGCAGTTGTTACCAGTTGCTTCAAGGTTTATGAAGAGAAGAACCCGGAACAGGGAAGAAACGGCCTTTGGCTTTCTCTTGCCAGGACAAATATTTAAAGGGTCCATCTTCAATTTGGCAGAGCAGGCAATGAAGAGGGGATGTGGGTCTGAGAGGCAATAAGTTGATATTTGACCCAATTGGCCTTGGAGGATGCCAGAAATGGGCTTTCAGATGACCAGTTGTTGAGATTTGGAAAGCAGATTTTTTTTTTTTTTTTTTTGAGTTGGAGTCTCATTCTGTCACCCAGACTGGAGTGCAGTGGCCGCTCCCGGCCACCGCAGCCTCGCCTGCTGGGCTCCGGCGATCCTTCCTCCTCAGCCTTCCGAGTAGCCAGAATTACAGGCACGTGCTACCACGCCCGGCTGATTTTTTGATTTATTGTAGAGATGAGGTCTCGCTGCCCAGGAAAGCAGATTTTTTTAGATGCTTGTTTCTTGCACGAACAGGGTATAAGGATCCAGGGAAGCCTTTACTCTTAGAGATGGTACCTGAGGTTTCATTCCCCAAAGACTTCTCTTAAGCTAAATGCCAACTGCTGTTAAAAGAGACAGAAAAAAGCCTGCTTCTGGATTGTTCTATGCGCCTTGCGAAAATCTTTTGTGATGATAGGAATGTCTAAAAGCTGGGACTTTGCTGGGCCTACAGGATAGGCTTTATGAAGCGTTGATCCTTGCTTTGTAATGTATGTTATACCTCTGCTCCCTAACCATTGCCAAAGCAAAGTTTTTTGTGGCTAATCATCTACTAAGTACAACCTAAGAGTTTTGTAGGCTATTTTGTGTTAGCTTAAGTTGCTTGGGTTGGTTGGCAGCACACACCCCAAGCAGTCTCTCCCCTCTGGGCCTTTGTGCTTGCCTGACCCCAGTCTAGACCACTCTCCCCAGGATCTCGAAATGGTCCCATCTCATTTTTTCATGCCTCTGCTCAGATGTTATCTTAGCATTAGTTTGTGTCCTCTGAGAAGACCCCAAGATGTAATTAAATAGGCAGGACTTTATCTGGGGAAATGGCCCTGTAAGAGAAAATAGGAAGGAATCCTGGGGAAGCTGGGAAAGCCCTTAGGCCATGATGCCAGTCCAACCCGAAGTGAGAGACAGAAGTTGGGTAAAAGTGTCCCAGACGAATGTCCCTGTGTAAAAAGTGTCCCAGTGTCGTGTAAGAAAGGCTTGGCAAGGACACTGGGGGGTCCTCAAGCCAAAGGTGACTCGACCCCATCAGGGGAGTCCATGTCTCCCAGGACAAGTTTCTCTCAGCGTCTATCTCTGCCTTGTTTGGTCACTGGGAGCAGCCCAAGGGAAGCATGACTTCATTATAAACAGGGTATAGATCGCATAGCCTGGCAGACTGGGGGTTTCAGACCCCTGGTGAATTGCACTCACTGTAGTTGGGAGTAGTCTCATGGCTACTACATTTTATCAGTGGGTTTTTCCTGATCACCCTCTTTATTTTTTATTTAATTAAATTTGTTAATTTATTTATTTTGAGTTGGAATCTCACTCTTTTTTTTTTTTTTTTAGTTGGAGTCTCACTCTGTCGCCCAGACTGG